TCTTGCCCTTCATGATTCAAACATTAGTTGACGATTCACAAAATATTGCAACAGTGCGACTTTAATTCACTCGATAAAGTTTACGACCGAGGAATACACTTTCGTTAGCCGCTATGAATAATATGGATAAACCTAGTCTGATAATAATATTCTCTTCTTGTCCTTCATGATTCAAACATTCGTTGACGATTCACAAAATATTGCAACAGTGCGGCTTTAATTCACTCGAAAAAGTTGAAGACCCAGGAATACACTTTCGTTAGCCGCTGTGAATAATATGGATAAACCTAGTCTTAATGATAATATTAAAAATGATGATAATGGTAATAATAATGATTGTGATAACATTAACAATACTTATGCTCCATTAAATATTTCGCTCGTGCGCGAATGATCTAAACGAATCCCATGACCGAATATTCCACCGCCCACGTGATATTCTCCAATTTTTCAAACCTTTCGTCCACCACGATAAGTCTTCGTTTCAAATTTAATTCAAGATCTGAGAGAGCGTTTTGTGGTTGTTACATAAGGAGGGATATATTTTTTTGTTCATTAAGTCGTACCAGCGAATAGTCAACAGCTCCGCTCTCAGAAAACTGTTCGCATCTTAGAACAGGTAATGTCCGTGGACAAATATCCGTGCATATTTTGGCCCCAAATAGAGGATGTTGTAATACGAACTACTGATGACACAATAATGATAATATGAATGACACCAAAAAAATTAAGATAATGATGATGAAAACAGCAATAGTAATAATGGTAATAATATACCGTTTCATTGACTAATAATAAATTGCTTTCAAAGGACATCAACCGGGACTTAAGACATGCCTACCCTTGTTTCACCAGACCTATAAATTCTTACGCGAATATTCTCGCAAACCGAAGGATAGAGGATGATATCTTTGACGAGCAATCTTCCTAACACCATATTATTATTTTTTCTCACCGTTGTTCGTGCCGTCCCCATCTGCTTTCAACGAATTGGATTTGCCATCGAAATGCAAGTAGTGATCTTCTGGATCTTTATTCGTAGAATAAAGCTTGTACGTGCTATCACCCCATGAGGAATCACTTCCATCTATGACTGTACATGAACCAGCAGTGGTCATTGTGATGAGTGATCTCTTCGCAACAAAAGTGTACTTCTGGAAAATCTCTGAAAAGTTTCTTCCCGACGAAGCTATATCTTTGACTGTAACATCTCTTTTATATACGGTATACCCGCCCTTTAAAAGTGAAATAACGTGCGTTTATTTACAACGCTTTTTAATGTTAGAGCATGCACCTCACGAAAACGAAAACTTGTCATCATCGCTAATTTACCACAAGTTATGATGACGGCAGGATCAGAATTGCTTTCCACTGAGTTTTGTTTTCGGACCCGTATTCTTGCTTAAAGTATTTCCTGTTTACAAGCAACTTATCGTCCTGAAGTCTCGTTTTCAAGCTCCAAGGGGAATGCAAAAAATACACTGACGAGGCGAGAGGAAGGCGAGCGCGAGCATCGAAACCCGATTTGTGTTTCTTGTACTATGAAATTATATCGAGTGGAATTTTGCTCACCGTTTACTTATTACATGTATTGCTGACGTGTTCCTTGTTGAGGTTTCGTCTTCAAATCCACCCGAGCCAGAAAAATAAACTTTAACAAATTAAGAATCTTAAACGAATTATTACACTCTTTCATTGCAAAGTTTTCGATATCGCGCGTTCTGATCAGCTGAAACATCGCGTTTCATTTGCACAATGACTGACCAATAAGTTAACGCTTCTCTCGCTTTTTTTGACACACCTACTATATGACCTGAAAATCGAATGTGATCACGAGCTTTTCGCTTCAGTTTATACAAAACTGAGGTCCTCAATGAGGTGATGTCAATGAGGTGATGCCTTTTACAGACCATAAATTGAAGATCATCACTGGTATGGAGCAGGACTCTTATCTGTAAGGGGTGTATAGTAAAATGTATTTCTGGTATACAGCGGTGGGGACTGTTATCTGGGGCAAGGGGGGGGGGGGGGGGGGGGGGGGCAGCGGAATACAATCAGATGTAGTTCCGGTATACAGATAGTGGGAACTCTTTTCTGGGAGGAGGGGGCGGAAAATAATCAGATGTTTTCCTGTTTACGGATGGTTGGGAACCTTAGCTGGGAGTGGTTTATGATATAGCATAAGTCAAAACCATAGCAGAATTCTCTGATATGATAGGTTATAAGCAGCCTAATTTTAGTTATAACAGGACAGTGCTTGCGGCAAGAATGTAATTGGAGATGATATGATAATTTGCGTGCATCAAATTATGAGCGGAGGATTTGCTTGAAGCAGTGTTACTTCAAAGATCATACTAAGCTTACTGTTGTCAAACACGCACACAATGATCCATTGATTTGTTTTGTGAAGAGATCCTATCAAAGGCAGTCCAAGCTCTGTAAGAATGATGGAGCACCCTTTCCTACTTTCTCCTGTCCTTTCAACCGAAGTAAGGTATTTTTCAACAAAAATTTACCTAAAATTCATATTTTTTGAATGAGGCTTCTTCCTTTTTAAATGCAACTTGCTATTTCAAAAATAACAAAGCATTTCACTTCAGCAATTAGTCTCTATAAAGGCAAACTACTCAA